AATAAAGAATCCATTTGCAACCACATCTGAACATTGTAAAATAAAGGTTAACGAATCCATGCAACAGCATATAAAGCGTAAATGTTATGATTTCAATTCATAACATATTTACTTGTTTACCTTTCACTTTGAGTTTTGCAGATGAAGAGGTCTTCTCAGCTGTGAATTTAATATCACCCATATCTTCTGGGGAAACAGACTTAAACAGCAGTACATAGGTTCTGCCTGGATTCAAATACAAAATTGATTATAGTAGCACAATTTAATAAATGAATCATACTAATTATTCGGGTAAATTCTGTTTTTCTTACCCTCTTGTCTCATCTTGATGTTGTCACTGACTTTGAGTTTAGTACTTCCTTTGTACCACTGACAGTCCACTTCATCGTGTGAGAGTTCACAGACGAATGCAGCACTCTCCTTCTCCATCACCTCCACATCCTCAAGTTTCTTAATTATCTTGATATCTCTGGCTGTAGGGAAATATTTTAAGGAATTTTCATAAACTATAGATTTTATACTGTACCCTAAATAAGAGTCGCTGGTTGATTTATGTGCCTTGTGACAGGAGTAATGTTTACCATGAACGGTGAGCTTGGCAGAGGTGTTATCATCAGTGGTGCGACAGACGTAACTTCCTGTATCTGCAGGAGTGCATTTGCTGATGATCAAAGTGCGCTTTCTGCCCATGGAATGGATGCCAAAGTTTTTCCCTGGTTTCAGTTCCACATCGTCCTGAAGATGAATCATTTTTAACATGTTATAAAAGTTTCAATAGTTGATTTTTCCTGTCTTCACTCTGCAGACTCACCTTGAACCACTTAACATCTGCATTCGTTCTGGACACTTCACATTCAAAAGTAACCTTCTCCTTCTCAGGAACACTCATATCCATAATGGGTGCGGAGATCATAGCAGGTGGTTCTGCAAAATCAAGAACCATTGGGCAATAGGTAATAATGTAGACTATATGGACTCAATCATGAAGTGGTACATTATAACAAAAGCCAAGACCCTACCAGCAGAGGACCAGACAAACAGGAAGTAGGCCTTACCTGTGACCAACAGTTTGCCTGAGGTATGGACACCCTCAGCTTGGAAGGAAATGGTTCCTGCATCGTCTTTCTTAAGATTGGACAGTGTAAGAGCGTGCTTCTTTCCCAGTGCTGTGAAACGACAGTTTGCCCCTGGCTTTAACTTGGCCCCATCTCTGGTCCAGGAGCCTTCAACATCGGCCTGGCTGAGCTCTACCTCAAATGTTACTGTCTCTGTCTCATGTGCCTTGGTTTCTTTTAGGCCCTTTATTACCTGGATCTTCTTCACTGAAGAAAGAAGAAAATAATGTTGGAGTGTAAATATGATGGCAAGATTTTTAACCAAACAGACATCACTGAAGAACAGTCTCTTTTTAAGGTCAAGGTATGTGCATAAATACTGAATATTGTATCTTAAAACATATGTGAATGTGGTTAAATCGTACTTTCTACAGTGAGCTTGGCCTGGGTCTTGTCATCCAGAGTTTCACAGGAGTAGATGCCACGATCAGCATGAGTCACGCTCTTGAAGACCAGAGCCTGCTTGGCTCCATCTACCCGAATCTCCAGGTTTCCTGCAGGTTGCAACACGATGCTGTTCTTCATCCACCTGACTTCATCTGATTTCTTACTGAGCTCCACCTCCATCTTCACTTCACTCTGCTCCTCCACTGTCAGGTTTTCCAGCTTTTTCTTAAAGGTTACAGGCTCATCTAATTGGGGAACACAGATATGTTAAATGAGAATGTTACATTAATTAACAAATTTAAAATAGATATGTTAACAATAGATGCGCATTCTTACGTTGCACTTGTAAGGTAGCTTTGCAGCTTTTGCCTTCTGCATCAACGGAAATCTCTCCGGCATCTTTTTGTGTGACAGAGGTTATGGTGAGTGAGTGAGTGTTGCCACCATGGTCTAGCTTATACTTTGGCCCGGCAGTGATGGGTATGCTGTTGTGGAACCACTTGACATTGGTGTCTGCTGGGGTGACAGCGCACTTGAAGACGGCTTCTTTTCCCTCCATTGCAGCAACATTGTTGAGTTTGGCAGTCAGCCTCACTACTCTGGGCACTAAAGTTATGGGAGGCATCAAATTAACCCAAATGATATGAAAAAAAATGGTTTTCAGCATTCAACAGATTCAAATTTGAATTAAATGGTGAATTACCTTTAGAGGAGATTTTGGCAGTGGTCTTGTCATTTCGACATTCACAGCTGTATTCTCCTTCATCTTCCTTAGTCATGCCAGTCACAGTGAGGACCCGCTTAGCACCATCTGTCCTGACACAGTTCCTTCCTCCAGGTTTAATCTCACGACCATTATGGTGCCAGACAACATCCCCTGAGGCTTGATTGAGTTCACACATCAGACTAAGTGTACCACCCAACTCCACATCGACAGACTTCAAGGGGACAGAAAACTTCAAAGCTGATTCTGAAATAAAAAGAGTGACGTTAGATAACAAGAAGAATCTATGCAGCAATTATCAGAGGGTTATAAACTTAAAGACCTACCTCTAACCTGAACTTTGAACTCCTGTTTGTCATTAGCAGTTTGACAGGAATAGGTTCCACTGTCTTTAGTTTCAGTGGAATTTACTATCAGGGTACGACAACGTCCATCTTTTTTAATTTCATACTTTCTGCTCTCTTTGATCTCCACACCGTCTCTAAACCACTTCACACTTCCACTCTCCGTGGTCAGCTCAGTGGTCAAAACAATGTTTTCACTTGCTTGAACAATACATGTATCTTTGACCGACTTCTTCTGGAACTTGACAGCTTCTTCTATAGAGAAATGAGAACTTCTGTTCAGCAGTTTTCTTATAAATATTGTAAGAAAATTTGTTATATTCGAAATATATATTTACCTGTCACATGCAGCTTAAATACCAGCTTCTCTGTTCCAGTCTCACAAGTGTATTCTCCAGCATCTTTTTTCTCAATTTTTTCAATCACCAGCTCACGACTCTTGCCCTTTAGCTCCATGTGAACTGTTTTGCTGGAAGTCAGCAGCTTGCCGTCCTTATACCACTTCACTTCCGTCTTGGAATCAGAGACCTCACAGCTCAAGGTGGCTTTCTGGGAGAGAGTAGCTTTCACCTCCTTCTGGACGGACTCCTTGTTCGAGAAGCCAGCCGGGGCTTCTACAGAGTAAAAAATGTGATGTAAACAAATAAGAACATATCAGTCAACACAATACATGGTCACAACATTACATTTAGCTGACGCTTTTATCCAAAGCGATTTACAATAAGTGCATTCAACCATGAGGGTACAAACCCAAAACAGTAAGAATCAAGTAAGTATAATTTGCTTCAAAAAAGCCGAACTCCAACCAAAACTTTTCAGCTGAAATAACCACACAATTCAAACAAGGGAACACAATTTAAAAATCTGCACACACTATAACATAACAAATAAATCTAATTCAATTCACATTTAAAGGCAACAATTCACTCCTCCTACCTGCCACCTGAATCTTAAAGGCCAATTTTTCAGTCCCAGCCTCACAGATGTACTCTCCAGCATCTTTCTTCTCCACACTGTCAATCACCAGCTGTCGACTCTGACCTTTTGACTCGGCATGAACTGTTTTGCTAGAGGTCAGCAGCTTGCCATCCTTGTGCCATTTCACCTCTGTCTTGGTATCCGCTACTTCACAGCTTAAAATGGCTTTCTGTGAGAGAGTGACCTTCACCTCCTTCTGGACGGACTCCTTGTTGGAGAAGGCAGATTTGGCTTGAATCTCTGAAAACATAAAATAGAATATATAATGGTATCATTACACCTTCAATTGAACAACTATTATAAAAAAGATTTTAAATAAAGAGAACTATAGCTGAGATCAGCAAATAGCGCTGTGCTGCTACAGAGTGATCACGAAAATGGGGGAGTGGTCTCAGACTTTTGGTCTGAGGTTATGCACAAATGTGTGTAACAACAGAGGCACATCACAGCAATAAAAGAAGCTAAAATTTGGCAATTAAAAAATAAAAAATCCTCCACTGCAGCTGTTATTCAGCTTTGTTATGATTCATCTGAAATTAGACAAGAAGACATCAGTTTTGCACAAGTCAAATCCTTCCAGCTTGTGCCATTCCCTTCCACATCCTCGTACCTGTCACCTGTTCTTTAAATGCCAAATTTTCTGTTCCAACCTCACAGATGTGCTCCCCCACATTTTTCTCCTCTACACTGTCCACCAGCAGTTGGTGAATCTTGCCTTTTGATTCCAAGGGAACTGGACTGCTGGGACTCAGCAATTTGCCATCTTTGTACCATTTCACCTCTGTCGTGTTATCAACTATTTCCCAGCTCAGAGTGCCTGGCTGGAGGAGAGTGGATTTCACCTCCTTCTGGACAGACTCTTTGTTGAGGGAACCAGATTTAGCCCCGATTTCTGTAGAAGTAACTGGAAAGGAGTACGGGGGGGAGGACAATTACCAGTACAAAAACAGACTCTAGAAAACTATAACCCTGCTCTAGATGAATTAAACACATTGGATCAGACTTTATAGATGTGGAACAAAGGGCCATAAACTACTGAAGCACATTAAGAGAGAGAAAGACACCTATGTAAACGTCTGCACTAAGAAAAAACAGATTCGTTATTTGAAGGTGGCCACAGAGGCACGTCTCACAACAACTCTTACTGACTAAGGGAATGGCAGAACCACAAAATACAAGACATAAGTAAGAAATCTCCTGATATTATGTCCATTTTAATTATCACCAATTAACATAAAAATCTGAGTCAATAATGGACTTAAGACATTTGAGCAAAGCATGTCAAATATCTAAATAATTACCCATGATGCAGCAAAAAAAAGTAGACAACAACACAAAGAGAAAACACAAATAAAAGCACATATCCACCAGTTTCACATGATGAATGTTTTTTTTATCTAAGACAGAATTACTTGGTCATCAAGTCAAGCGTCAGTGTTTCATATATTACTTGTCCAACCAGTAAGAACTTTTACTATTTTAATTCTTAAAAATGTTTGTGTATCACAGCACATTATTTAACTGAACTGACAACGAACACAAACAAGATTTAATGTAAAACGTGTAAATATAATGCATTTTCCTCACCTGCCACCTGAATCTTAAAGGCCAACTTCTCTGTCCCAGCCTCACAGATGTACTCTCCAGCATCCTTCTTCTCCACACTGTCCATCACCAGCTGGCGACTCTTGCCCTTTGACACTGCATGAATTGTCTTGCTCGAAGTGAGAAGCTTACCATCCTTGTACCATTTCACTTCTGTCTTGGTATCAGCTACCTCACAGCTTAAAATGGCTTTCTGTGAGAGAGTGGCTTTCACCTCTTTCTGGACTGACTCCTTGTTAGAGAACGCTGATTGGATCTGTGTGTCTGTGGAGAAGATGAAGCATCAATGTAGACGACAAAAACCTTTCACCTGTCTTTCAGCATCTGCAATAACTGAGATAATTAATCAAGAGAATGTATAAGCCACTTCAGTCCCAGCCCCTACCTGGCACTTGGAGTTTGAAGACCAACTTCTCAGTCCCAGCCTCACACATGTACTCTCCAGCATCCTTTTTCTCAGCGCTGTCGATAACCAGCGTGCGACTTTTGCCCTTAGACTCTGTATGGGTAGTCTTGCTAGAAGTCAGCAGCTTGCCATCCTTGTACCATTTCACCTCTGTCTTGGAATCAGAAACCTCACAGCTCAGAGTGGTTTTCTGGGAGAACGTTGCTTTCACCTCCTTCTGAACAGACTCCTTGTTGGAGAAGAACGACTGTGGCTCTGATGGAAAATCCATGCAATGAAAATATGAGGTGCTACTCTCACATTTCTGACAAATAAGCATGGATTAAAAAAAAATATTTTAAAAATCCCCTCCGCTTACCTTCCACCTGAATCTTAAAAGCAAGTCTCTCTGTCCCGGCTTCACAGATGTACTCTCCAGCATCCTTCTTCTCCACACTGTCAATCACCAGCTGGCGACTCTGACCTTTCGACTCTGCATGGATTGTCTTGCTGGAGGTCAGCAGCTTGCCATCCTTGTACCACTTCACCTCTCTCTTGCTATCTGCTACCTCACAGCTTAAAATAGCTTTCTGGGAGAGAGTGGCTTTCACCTCCTTCTGGACAGACTCTTTGTTGGAGAAGAATGACYGCGGCTCTGATGGAAAATCCATGCAATGAAAATATGAGGTGCTACTCTCACATTTCTGACAAATAAGCATGAATTAGGCAGATTTTTATTTTGAAAGTCCCCTCCGCTTACCTTCCACATGAATCCTAAAAGCAAGTTTCTCTGTCCCGGCTTCACAGATGTACTCTCCAGCATCCTTCTTCTCCACACTGTCAATCACCAGCTGGCGACTCTGACCTTTCGACTCTGCATGGATTGTTTTGCTGGAGGTCAGCAGCTTGCCATCCTTGTACCACTTCACGTCTCTCTTGCTATCTGCTACCTCACAGCTTAAAATAGCTTTCTGGGAGAGAGTGGCTTTCACCTCCTTCTGGACTGACTCTTTGTTGAAGAAGGCTGCCTGGGCCTCTGAGAATAACATAAATAAGTTACAGAGTAAATATGGGCAAGGATTGAAAGCTATATAACTGACATTCATAAGTATTGTGAAAATATGATATTAAATACTAGGGAAACATAATCAACTCTTATTTGGGACACTTAAAATTGATATGACAAACTGAAGATATTAATTACATTCTACATATCAATTAATTGATTTGTGTCACCTGAAACAGATATCTTGAAGACCAGCTTATCCCCACCAGCTTCACAGGTATATTCTCCAGCATCACTCTTCTCCACCTTTTCAAACACCAGCTGACGGGCACTGCCTTTTATTTCTGAGTATATGGTCCTGCTGGATATCAGCTGCTTGCCATCTTTATACCATTTGACCTCTGTCTTGCTATCAGACACACTGCAACTAAGAGTTGCTTTCTGCGAGAGAGTGGCCTTCACCTCTTTCTGGACTGACTCTTTGTTGGAGAAAGCAGCAACGGCTTGAGTTTCTGAGAAGAAAAACACAGTGAATAAATGTATATCTGTAACGTGCAGACAAATGTTGAATAACACAAAAAAATCATCACAGTCTCACCTTTTATCTTGACCTGGAATGTGACTTTGTCTGCTGCCGTCTCACAGGAGTAATGTCCTTCGTCACTTTTCTTGGCGTTCTTGATGACGAGTTTCCTTTGAGTCCCTTTGGAGATCATGGCAGTTCTTTGGTCCTCAGTGATCTCCACCTGATCTTTTCTCCACACAACGGCAGCGCTGGCAGGAGATACCTCGCAACTCAGCTCAAGATCTCCTTTAAGAGATGATGAAAGTCCCATGGCACCTCTGGTCTTGTTCAGGAACTTGGCAGGTTCATCTTAGAGGATGAGAAATGGAAAATAAGTCCTCTGTTTTTATAAGTAAATATTTGTAAATTAATTTTTTTGCTTTCATATGTTTAAATCGGATGTTTCCATGTATTCTTAGATCTGTTATTAAAGAAGCTTATATGTATGAAGAGTGGGAGTTGTAAATGCAGGGCCACACTGGAGCTGACTACATGATGACACATAGCTTTCCTCCTCTTGATGGCTGATAAGCACATGCTAGTCCCACCAGTACAGATCACATTACAGTGTATCAGATTGTCTGAGACAGACTGTCTGCATGTGGGAGCGCAGTTCCTTTTATGAAATCATATCTGTGCCACACGGGACACATTTAGTACTTAAGAAATTTGGCAAAACATTGGCTTCACAGATTAATAAATTCATCAATCAATAGGAGACTGGTGCTCTGTTGCTCTGTGAGTAAAATCAGTAAAACATTTTGATAAGTACCTTTAAGAGAGAGTTGCAGGGACATCTTGTCATCAGCTAAAACACACTCGTAGATGCCCACATCCTCCTCAGAAACATTGTGTACTATCAGGATCCTCTTGCGGTCGTTGATGATGTATTCATACTTCTTGCCCATTTTCACCTCTCGTCCGTTCTTCATCCAAACCACCTGAAGAGAATTACAGAATAGATTGACACAACAAACCAGATCCAGTAAATATTATGGTTTGAAAAGTACTACTACAAATGTCACTTTAGTATTAACAAGCAGGAGAGTTGGATGGAAAGTATCTACAACAAAATGGGATCACCCACATTTTTGGGCAAGAGTGTTACAACTTTAAAAGGATATTCTTTCGTCATTTATTAAGACAATTAGAAAAAACTTGCACATCTTCTATCCCTGAGTGCTTGTTAAATTTAAGGTATTTTGATATAATATATTAAGCAAAAAGTAAAAGCTAGAAATTATGTGCAGTATGTTTCCATTGCATACCTGTGTTTCGTAATCCGACACCTCAGCAGTCAGCTGAGCGGTGGATTGGGCAGTGCAGGCCACCACCTCTGTCAGATCTGACTTGTTCGTGAACCTAACACGAGGGGCTAAAAATACAGTTGTCAGGAAGGAAGGAATTTTTGATTGGCTACTCACTACAAATACAGGGAATACCAATCAATCCAACATGTAATACAGAAATGAAAATATACTCCAATACTATGATGTCAAGAATTAAAACATTTTCCTGTGCCTACCCTTCACAGATAAGATGCAACTGCTTTGTGAGCCTCCACCAACAAACTTGACTTCAGCTCCATTCATTTCCATGGTCATAACACGGATGAGCAGAGTGTGTGTGGTCTTGGACCTGGTGATGAGGTACTCAGCTCCACTACGCAGGAGGTGGCCATTTATGTACCAGAAACCAGAACAAACAGCAGACAACTCGATGGCGACAGAGAACTCCTCGCCAGAGATTGCAGTGCTGTTCATCAAGCCTTTCCTTATCTCTGCAGTGGGTTCTGGAGGCAACAGATAAACCACACATGAGAAAAGAATGTATGCAACAACAGCAGACAGAAAAGTATTATCCCAGGGACATCAGTCTTACCGAGGTAGAAGCTTCCAGGCACCTCCAGGTGGGGGCTCTGGCCAAAGTCATTCATGGCAGAGATACGGAATTGGAAGCTGGCTTCTTCTGTGAAGTTGCAGGCGGTGATCTCTGTGGAAACAATGGTTTCTCCAGCGTTGCACCTCTGCCATGTCTGAGTGCCAACCTTCCTCCTCTCTACAATGTAGCACTTAATGGGCACGGGGCGATCGCTGTCAGGAGGAGACCACCGAATGGTGATGGATGAGTCAGTCTTGTTCAGCACCACGGCATCCACTGGGGGATCGGGGGGGTGCTTCCTTGCAGCTGGAGCAGAAAGAGTGATAGTCATACTGTGATCTGACTGGATGAATTTTGAGTGATTTAAAATCATTCTTGTCAGTTATGATAATCTGTTGTTTACCTGCTTTAATATTTAGATGCAGCATGAAGTCACAGGGACTCATAGTTTTTATTTATTTTAGCAATTTAAGGTAAAGAAATCCAAGCACCCCAGGGTCATGAAGTAGAAGTTAAAAGCCTGAGTTAGAACATGGCTAGAGACCAATGTATTTCAAAACAAAATCATGTTCTGTATTCATTCTAGAGGGATCCTAAATAAATACTTTGAAAGTAAAACAACCATCATCATACCTAAAATAACAATTGTAATTTCCCCTGTTATTTAAAAAATAATTTCAGTTGAATCTTTCCCATCAGGTGTTTATTCTATTTGACTTAAGTCAATATGTTTAATTTAGCCTAAAACTTCAAAGGTGCAACACTGGTAGGGTTGAAGTGAGATAACAATCCAATGTATGCAGGACAATTAAATAAGATAATCACAAGTATGCTGCGTGTAGTAATTACGACTTTAAAACTTAAATGTTGACCCTAAACCTCAATCAGTTTTTGTAAGCAGATTCAAGTGCAGTTGACTCAGGTGTCATCCTCACCAGTTACAGTGAATCGAGTGGACGTCTTGCAGTCTCCAGCCACAAAGGCAATTTCTCCTGAGTCTTCAGCCTGGCAATCTCTTATGGTGAGCGTGTACTGTCTTAGCACACAGGCGATGGAAATTCGGGAATCTTCCTTCAGCTTCTCCCCTTTGCGGGTCCAGTAGGCATCCGGGCAGGGATGCTCCAGCTCGACACAGAAAATGACAGTATCGCTGACAGGAACCACCGTCCGCCGGGGGAGCTTCTTGGTAATATTGCCTGGGATACGAGAATAAGAAGATGTTACAAAAAGAAAAACTCACAAATAGGAAAAATGTCATGGAACATTAATTACACTCCATAATGGCTTCAAATTATCTCATGATGGAGAGAGAGAAAATGATCTCCACTGTACCCAGAACAGTGAGCTCGGCCACGGTGCGACTGCCTTCTTTCATTTCGCAGATGTAAACACCGTCATCGTTGGTGGTGACATTGTGTATGGTGAGACGACGCAGGGTGCCCTCCTCCTCCATGCGATATTTGGTACATTGCTCCAGCCTCGTTTCCTCCATGAACCAGTTGGCCTGGGTGGCAACAACAGGCACCTCACACATCAGTGTGGCCGATGTTTTCTCCTGTACCTCCATGTCCAGCAACTTCCTCCTGAACGGCACTTTAGGCTCTGACACAAAGAAATATACAGAATTTTCAGTTAATGCAACCATATTGATGTTTTGTATTTTATCAAATAAAAGTTCTTGAATATATTTTAAACCATGAACCATTTTGCAGACTTTCTGCTTTTAATTTCCTGTGATCGAAGTTGTAGCTTCAGGCAAGTGCAATTTCAAAGTTAGCTGAGAGAATCTAGAAACTTGCATGTGAGATAATCCATCATATTGGGCATTTAATCTGTGAAAAATTAAGCTCCTGAGAGTTGAGACTATGACATTTTCAACAGTCAAAAACCCTGAAAGGATATTGTTTTCATTACATGTTACAGTTTCTGACAATAAACCAGTAGTAAGTGAAATAAAAGCTTTTGGGCAGTCAACTGTGAAACTGTTGAGGTAAACAAGGGTTGTCTGGGTGTTTTTATGAATTCTTGAATATGTAAACTTGCAATTTTAAGCCCATGCCCAAAGTGCTGAATCACTTATTAATTAATCAATGCATCATTAAACAGATAGACAAAGATATCTAGCAGCCCCAATTCTCCAGTATACAGTAGTTATAAGAGGTTGTTGTGTAGTTTTTTTTTCATTCAAGCAGACAAAAATAGCATAAGAAAAATAAGAGTATATATCATCATCGTCTTCAAGAAAAAAGAGCCCTGGTATGAGAAGATAACAAAACCCCAAATCAAGTACAGCAATCACATCAGAAGTGACAAAGTGGGTCAGAGCATCGAAAGTAGTTACAGTTTGAAACTCTATCTCTATCCAAGCTTGGATCTAAGCCAGAAGTATAAATACCTAATGTGGACGCCCGCTTTGAGTTATGGGAGAAGTCCACTGGGTTAAGTAAATGACAACTATCCACATAAAGTAAATGACATATTTACAATAAGATTTACTACGTCTCCTATAGTTCACATTCCAAGGAACAATTGAGCTGTTTTATCTTTTAAATATTTTTGCTCAGAGAATATAAGTTTGCACAAAGATACTGGTCATAAAGTTTGATAGAGTGTGTCTCCTAAAATAAACACGAGTCAAAAAAATAAAGACAAAACATTAGGACCATTATTTATTCTGTTGATTATATTCCAAAAAGTGCTTTGTTAGGTTTATCCTCCAAGAAATGTGAACGACCTCCCTATCTGCAGTGGGTCCCTCCTTTTATTTGCTCTTACCATTTATTTTATTATATGTTTTTTTTATCAGTGTTGTAAATTATGTATTTAATGTAAAAAGTTAAAAATGTAACATTTTCAAATTTAACTTTTTGTTTAAATCCAGCAGAGATATACACTCTCCTGCACCTAGCAGTACAAAAGCGACACTGACTGAAGACTAACAGCCAACCTGATTCTATAAATCTTCAGTTTCCTCCCTTGGGCCAATTTCTCCCTGAGGGAAGTCACACTAGCAGTGGTACCAGTGTGCCCCTGCAAGTGAGCAACCATCTTAGCAACTGCGAACGACTCATCACCAGCAGAAAATAGATGAAACACAACACCTTCCTTCAGAGGACGAGCCAGAAGTCAACCTTGTTGTGAAAATCCACACATTCTGAGAGGTCGAAATAAGACTTTGGTGCAGTCATTTGCACAACACTGTAGCCAATAACAAGTTTATGGAAATAACATATAGCTTCTTCCTCTGTTCCATATGCTATTCTATGAAAAACACACAATGAGCCACTCTGATTTACAAGGAGACATTTTCCTTCATTACAATTAAAATAAGCACCATCATTTGTTTAAAGTAAGTCACACTATCCTGTTAACAGTAAAAAAAAAACACTTAACCCCTGCATGTGTGGGGAATATGCTGTGAATATGCTGTGAATACTGGAAGTAAAGTGTTCTTGACCTTTAAGATGATGCATTTAAAACAACACTATGTGACGTTTTCATCTTAAAATAGCATCTTCAAAATTAGTTTGAGGGTACACTAACTTAGAAAAGGGAGAATGGTGTCGCTTTCATTCCCACTCTGCACCATGAACGCCTGTTCCTGTCTATGTAACTTTGGTGAGCGGGTACTATCTCCTGTGAGAAGTTCATCTCTGACTGATGATCGCAGTGGAAATTGCCAGAATCAGGCCAACTCACTTGACTTGTACTCATTTCTTTTAACTAAATATGGTTTGCTATCATTTTTCCAAAGATGTTTGAAATCTTACCTTTGACTGTCACCAACACAGCACTGTAGGTCTGCCCGGCCATATTGGTTGCATTGCAGGTGTAGAGACCGTTATCCGTCTGCTTGCAGTACAGGACCTTGAGGATGAAGTTCTCAGCCTGGTCCTCATAAATGACATGCCTGCGGCCTTCACCGATGTTCATTCCATCCTTCCTCCAGATAATGTGGGGTTTAGGGTGACCAGTCACAAAGCAGCTAAGTTTGGCATGCTTGCCCTCAGTCACTGTGCAGGTACGGGTGAATACACCTTTGGGCAGCTTTGCCAGCACAGATGCCCTCAGCTCATGTTCCAGACTCAGAGAACTCAAACTATCTGTGATGTTAGCTGTGGTAGAAGAAGAAACCGAGGATCTGTTCTCTTCAGTGCGATAGATGGAGATGTCCTTCTTCATTTCCTCTTTGCGCTTTTGGAGGTGAGAGAGAAGGGAGGTGTTCTTATCTGCCGCCAGGAAGCGGGCATCCTGGGCATCAACGACAAGAGCTGCAGCAGTATGTGCACGGCCAGCAGTGTTCTGGGCTCTGCAGGTGTAGGTGCCACTGTCCAGGTTTCGTACGCTTTGGATCTTCAAAGTGCTGCTGTCGATGTCAGAGACAATCTTGATGCGGTTTGACTCCCCCAGGTAGCGCCCATCCTTTTCCCAGTCGAAGTTGGCCTCAGGGTGAGCTGCAACCTTGCAGTAAAACAAGACATCACCTCCCAAACCTACACGTGCAGAGATGGGCTTCACCATGAACACGGGGGCCCTCTGAGCCATCTCTGTAGGCAGAGCCACTTTAACGGTTACAGCAGCATAAGCTTCCCCAACGCTGTTTTTGGCCCGACACATGTACTGTCCGCCATCCTCCAGCGTTAAGTCGTAGATGGTCAAGCTGTACACGTCCCCATCCTCCACTGTCTTGAAGCGTCCCCCAGATGTCAGCTTCAACTTGTCCTTCTCCCAGGTGATCAGTGGGGTCGGACTGCCCACGATGGTGCAGCTGAGAGTGGCATCTCTGCCTGCACTCACCGAGAACGCCTTTGGGCGAGTCAGAAACCTGGGGACTCCTCCATACAGGTTTGGATCCATTGTTTGTTCCTATAGTCCAGAACAAAACAAAATTAATCGTGTGCCAAGATTATACAGGATATTTAATTAATCATTCAGTGTCGTCAATAATGTCGGTTCCTATTGGCTACTTTAAACACATTTCAAGAAAGATTTTGACTTTTCAAGATTTTAAATTAGCTTAGAAGTATGAAATTCCAGTTTTTATATTGAGTTTGATTTTACCCTGAACAGTAACAAATTATTTTCTGTGTGATTAGGCCAAAAAACTATTACTATTTTTATATATATTAAGGGATATAAAGTAAACCGAAAATATAATTGAGGTATTAATTAAATTGAGGAAAATAATTGGACGTTCTTTTCTTTGTATTTCTGTTTGGATTATTATTGGACTTGTGAGCTCATGAATCGTGGGAACTGCTGGATTTGTCTATAATGTTGTAAGGTGTCCACCTTCCTATGTATAGTTCTTTGAGATATTGTGTGTTGTGAATTGGCTTTATACAAATAAATTTGAATTGACTGAATCACTATGGACAATAAGAAAGGGCGATATGGCCAAAAATGTTATCAAGAAAAAAAATCTGTCGATATAGATAATTATCACGATAAACAGGCAAAATAACAAAACAGAATTTTTGCTCCAAGGTGGAGGTTGCAGCAAGATTTGATTTTATAAATTTGAGGTAGATCGATTTAGTGTTATACCTCCTCATTTTGTTTGCAAAATGCATTGACAACATATCAATATACATCAGACAATTGAAAATTGGTAATTATTATAATAATATTAACTTTCACCTTTCAAGAGACCTATTACATCTTTCAGTGGAATTCTGTGGGGTAATTATTGTTTATTGACTCTCTTAACTGTGAATTATTCATTCTGGTTGTACGATACAATGGTAAATGTGCAATCCATCCACTGCACATATTCTCACACTGCACATATTTTTACACTGTATATACATTTCTTCATATTCAATTCATATTTTTCTATGTTTTTTATATTCCTTACACTTCACTATTATTATCCCTACACTTACTTATTATTTACTGATGCCTATTTTTTGCTTCTTGCTGCTGTAATATTGCAAATATCCCCATTGTGGGACTAATAAAGGATTATCTTATCTTATCACCCAGCCCTGATTTGAATGCTCCCAACAAATGCCTTCCTGACAAAGTTTTTACCCAAACATAATAAAATGTGACAGTTTGTGTGCTCTGTAAATAAATCCTCAGTTCAGACTGGCATGTTTATAGCTGACAGTCAGACCCGTGCCCCTCTGTCTGGTCCTGTCCCTGCAGACACACTCGTTGCACACAGTTCATAATCGAGCAGGTAGCTTCACAACAAGACGAATTTCCTCTGTATCAAGGTCAAACACAGCAGATCTGTGCCTTTCAAACACTGACATTTAACAGCTTTGTCACCTCTGTCGCCTGAACCGCCTGCGACCAAAAATAACCTCAGCTGTCAGAGCCCGTCTCTGTCCATGGCCATTTGTAGAAGAGACGGAACATCAGCTGTTTGATAAAGATAAAGCTCCCACTTCAGAAACATGGCTCACACTGGCCCCGCTTCCATTCTCCAAGCTCGAGGAAACTTATTCAAAACTATTCTGGAGTCTGAATAAATTCAAGTCATTATGATTTATTGTGTTGGAACAGGTTTCAAAACAAAAAGCTCACCGTGAGCCAAATAGCATTAAATTATCTTAACAGGTGTGTTTAAGTTAAGCTGATTTCACTGGAGCTCATAGAACTGCTCCATCAACATCTCCATGTAAGTGTTAACAACAGGTTAATACACGAGGATTGTTTAAATCTAACTTTACTTATTCACCTTGAATCTTCAGCCACTCAGGTGGAAATGGAGTTGGATCATGAGGGGCTTGAACTTCTCTTGGTGGTCAGCAGGGTTTCCGGATGTAAGATTAACTCCAACAGAATCAGGTGCCTAAACAAAATAAAATCCACCCGAAGAAATGTTGCGTTTGTCTTGAAATATCCTCGAAATGGCTGAAAATCCAGGATGTCGGAACCTGTGGAACATCCCCCCCTGGTCTCCTGCGGTGGGCGGGTGACTGGATTTATTTTTCCTCCTTCTCCTCCGGTGGGTACCTCTCCATGCCAAATAGCTGACGTGCCTATTTTGGCTCCGGTCTCCAAGCTCCAAAATAGACTTGTCCTTTGGTGTGGCCTGAGATAGGAGACGGGCTGGTGGGTGAGGCCGGGCAGGAGAGCGGGAAGGCCGGCCTCCTGATGCTGCTGCCGGAGGGTGGGCTGCTGCAGGCTGCACACTTCTGATCATGATGTGAACTCCTTAGTGCAACCCTGCACAAATCAATGCAACTTGTATACAACATCTGCAGCTGTTTGACCCATCATGTGGATAAATATTACTTTCCATGAAGTATTTTTACACAATTCCAGTCGCTTTACTCACATCCTATCTACCCTGTGCCTTTTGACTGCTTTCCATGTTGTGTATTTTTGTCACTTTTATGTCATTTTAAAACTTTATTTCTGATGCAGATTTAGGAAAATCAGTCATAATTTTACTAATTTAAAGAAAAATTATATTTGAAAATTTTCACGTACATAAATGTTGTTGACACTTTTGTCTGGTTGCTCACGGTTCAGTGTTTCTTCAGTGTCACTTTCAGTATCTATTTCCTGACTAACCCCCTCATCTTCGTGGACCAAATCTTCTGAGTAAGACTAGAAAATCCCAGTTGACCATGTGTACGTGTACACAGTGTGCAGGGCCTTTATTTTGTGATTGGGTTAAGCTGAGAGATCAGGTGGACTTGCCTCAGAGCACATTGTATTCCACGACCACCATTGTGACAGCTGTATTACTGCTGTCTATAATTACGTGATGACTTCATACTGTAAATGTGTTACATGCATCTCACATGCAATACGATACAATGATGAGAACACTAAACAATCATTTAGCATGACATAGCAATCCTTCGGCATGTAGAGCATCTGTGTGCCACTTCATACATGCTCTACTTTTATGGAAAGTAATGTTTATTGTGTCTAGAAACAAGGGCAGCAAGTTGTAGCCCTTCCTCTCTATTCCTCAGCTTCCTGTTATTTTCTTACTCTTCCAGCGTGGTGTTCCCCCCCAGTGAGTGACAGCAGCAGGTTGCTTGGATACTGATTTTAACTTTCCGAAACTCTAGCAGACACTAATCCGCTGTTGCTGTTTGCCCCCCCGAGCTTCTTCATCCTGCTCTGGCTACTGTGTTTTTTTCCTTTCTCATCCAATATAACTTCTTTAAAACTTTCTTATTTGTATAGCACCTATCTAAACAATGTTACAAAGTGCTTCACAAAAATCCATGGCAAAAATATGAATGAACTCAAATAAAAGCTATTCAATTCAGTTCAATTTAAAGCGCCAAATCATAACATGATACGGTCAAGACCTTAAAATTTATAGAGAAACCCAACAGTTCCCAAATATATACAGAATAAAAGAAAAATGAGGTAACATTCATCCAAACCGATGAGATTACTAATGTAATGTGCAATACATGGGGGGAAATGGAATGAAGGTTTTATACTATCTTAAATTTGACTTCACCTCCATTTGTTTCCCCCCCCTCTCATTTATTCCTCCTGAAGTCTACAGCTCTGGATGCCCAGTCACTTAATAGCATCAGATCACATCATGGATGGTATTTAACCTTTGGTAATCATCCAAAGGTCCCTCTGAGCCAGTTGTCACCCTCTCCTGGCAGGTTGAACACAACACAGTAGAGGGCGGCAGACGGGCAGCTCGCTGTGTTTTTAGCAACTACAGAGCTGAGTAAAATCCCAAGTCCCCCAGTTTTTTGCGATTTTAATAAAATGGATCTCAAGTATCTGCCCTCTTGGCATCGGCCATTTCAAGAATAAGGTTGTGGCTGTATCATGTTCACATCTGAAACACATGGGTGTGATCTCAAAGGAACATTTACATTGCTGATGACAAGTGAGACAAATGTCAGTCGTATCTAGGACAGAGAGCCAAGAGTGACCAGCAGATGGCATATGTGCTTTAAAAAGAAAGTCTATGGGGACTTGAACAATTACAAACACCACTCAGGGAAAATAGATGAGACTGAGGAGTGTGTAACAAAATACAAACATGTGGTGTTTATTTACAATGCAGACACCATTGACAGTATTGCCAGAAGTAGCAGGGTTAACAGTGAAAGCCCACTAACTATTCTGAAAACACACAAACGGTCCTGACTAATACAGAAACATTACTTATATTATCTTCTATTTTCCACAACATGTTAAAACAGGGGAAATTTACACGAGCTCTTGAACCACCACTTGATTTTCAATCATTTAATCAATCACTTCATCATAATGCATCTACACAGATTCACCCACAACCTAAAATGCTGCTTTGGATTGAATTCAAGTTGATTTTGATATATTAAGAAGATTATGAACTACCAGTAACCAAACCTTTGAAAATTCATACACTGTCATAACACAATCTTAAGACAGTGAGTGGAACATTAGTGCGATTACTCATTCAGTTTCATTCACCGTAAATATAATGCAAAAAACAACAATAAGGGATTTAAACTTACCACGAAGTTGGAGCTTGGGAACATTTAACTATTTGGAACTGTTGAGGCCTTGAAGCCTGACTCTTCTGTCTTTACGGTTTCCCTCCAAAAGTAACTTCCTCATTCCAAAAAAAATCTAATTTCTTTATTTCCTAAATCCAGAGAAACTGAATGCATCAGAGTGGAAACATGCTTTATGTAAAATGCATGTGTCTCCCTCTCCAACAATGATTGTTCCCAAGCCTCACAGGGTTTCAAATATTTAGGAGGGAAAGTAGGCCGTCAGCCTTCTCAGACAATGTTCATTAAAAGTTCATTCAATGTAAAAACATGTCTCTTACTGATTCTGAGGTTCTTTTTTCAACATGTGCCCTGTGGCGGCTCGAGCAGAGTTTATTTTATCTTGAATGAGCTTGAACCACATTTCATGTTGAATTAACAAACATTCTCTGTGTGCAGACAGAAGGAATCACAGAGCAGTGAGAAAAGAAAGAGTCTGAATGATGTTCAGTAACAACAGAGTCCAGAGATCAACAACCAAACGAGGAAACAACAATGTTCAGAGACAACAACCATCAAACCGACTCAAATCATTGAGTTTGTGCAGTGACAAATCCTCTTCTTCTTCTTCTGCCTCTTCCTCGTTTTATTGGCAGTGGGCAAACAACGATTAGGCGCATTACCGCCACCAGCTGGTATGGAGTGTCTTACAATTATATTATCTATTCCATTGAGTTAAAATAATTATATTCTCTCTATTACATTAGTTTTTCTAAGATAATGAAATAGTATTTGATAACACTTGCTTTGTGGGTTATTTTTTATGGTATCTCATAAATTAAAAAATGATTTAATCTTGCCAAGGTTTACAATTAGCTGCCTTCTTCCTGCTCATATTTCTGACAGTGTACTTTGACATGCTGAACTGTTTCCTCTTGTCCAATAATCACATTTTCCTGTATCATGTTTGCCTATTTTTTGCTACGTACTGTTTAGTCCTGTGTGTCCTTAGTCTTGATATTGTTTCTATCTATTAGTTCCTGCCATTCTCATTTCTCCCACTTTCCTTTGTTTGTGGTAAAAACCATAGTCCTTTCCTGTCTTCCTCCCATGTCTCCCCCTCAGTATCGTGTAGGCATTGATGTATCATAAGATAAGGTTTTATATAATTCAATGTACTGTGAGAACATACATGCGTGTGTGTGTGCTGTAATATAAAATGTTCTTCTTGTAATTTAAGTTAATCATTGCCAATATTAAAGGTGTATTGTTTTACAGGTGCCATTAGGCTGGCAGAGAAATTATTTTGCATTCTTAAACAAGCTGATATTACAAACTACCAACAGCAACAAAGAAAATTAAAATGCATTTTTATTTTAAATAAACATCACATAATCAAACACAAGTGAAATGATTAAATACACTCAAAATAGGGTTTATTTGCCTCTGTACTCACTCAGAGAAAACAGCACATCTCATGAAGCTGTGCTGAAAACGAGTTCTTTTGGCATGTTCCATAGTGTGTCTTAATTTACAGAAGAAAAACACACGCACACACACACACACAGACACACACAAACAGACAAACCAATGTACAAAAAAAGAAAACATGTCTTTAAACATATTCAACATTTCAGGATGAAAACTTAGCACCTTGTTCCAGTCACTGTGATATTTAAACTGGTGTGTAGTGGACATAGTTTGATGTAGATTGGCCATGATGACGCTGCAGATAACAAGTACTCCTGCTTCTTTAGGGATTTTCAAGACAGTGCAAGTTTAGATACCACGATCAGAAGTGCAGATGCAACAGATCAGTTTGTAGCTCATCTTACAAGCCACGTCCACAGTTTCACGACGCAATAGATGTTATACACAATGACTCGTCAAACAAAAACACTGTACATAGTGTGTGCTGTGAAAACAAATCTGATCGTTTACATGACATGGCTTCTAAACAAAACAAGAGCAAACACTAAACCTTAATACTAAGGCACTGCTGAAAATAAAATGACAAACACAACAGTGAGCTGTAAACGTATAAACTCTGTGCACAAAGCTGAGCTCCAGAGTCTGTACTTCAACTTCAACTCACTGCATTTGTAAGATGTACAACAAAGAAAGAAATAAAACAAGTGAACAACACCCATGTAAGCATATTTAAGAGTGTAACAGAAACACACATCATCCCCTAAAGGGCAATTTTTTTTATTGACGAGAGGTAAGAATGACCTTTTTGTGATTTGCCACACTGTTTCCAGACAGCCTGCTGCAGACAATGACGACATTACAATACGTGCTGATGCTACGCTTATGTACAAATGATGAGAAGAGGTCATTCAGGATGGGGATTGACTCGGTGTCCCTTTTGAGACGTGCCCTTTCTGAAGTGTGTCTGATTTTTTTTTTTATGCTTTGTTTTCTTTTTTCAGTGCAAAATTCTGAGTTTGTGTTAGCATAATTACACAGGTGTCTATTCCATCCACACATAAACACACACACACAAAGAAAAGTGGAAGAGTTGCTGAACACAAGACGGTAAAGACATATCTGTAGCTCTTGCAGGAGAGGAGGGTGAGATCTATACTACTGTGACCTCTGTAGAATGCGATAAAAAAGTGCTGTGTTATGCATGACAGCAACAAGCAGGTTCAGTCCCAGTTAATTTTAAACTTTGAAATCAACATTCAACATCATGCAGCTGGGCGTGTTCTTCAAATGGAAAATGTATTTTCTTTCTATTACTTTTAGTGTGTTTATTTTTTTTTTTTCATTTGTATTTTATGTGTGAACAAGTGAACAATTTGAGAAAGCTTCTAAAATAATTTCTTCAAATAAATAATAAGTATATCTCAATTAAATATCTGGTGGAAAAAGGATAATAAATACTTTTATTTGGTGATTGTGGGGAAGCATTTTTTTTTTTATGCTCTTAATTTAAAAAAGTAAAGGCTGAGTAAATATAAAGCCAGAGACCAATTGTCCTGTTCAGAAGTTACCAAATTCGTTCTGAATTAATTAAAGCTAAAGCTATACTAAACTGCACAAGCTCTGATATTAGCTCTTGTGACATGGTTACATTATTATATGATATTTCTGGGGGGGAAAGGACACAACAAAGATTTGCTTAAGCAATACCACCCTGTTTTTGCTTTAAAGGAAAAAAAATTGATTCTTCTTGATAAATTTTGGGACATTTAACTCAAAACATCTGCTGGGCAAAAAAACACAACCAGAAAATGAAATAGGTTCCATTTACACAGGCAATTAAAAATCGAAATGCAGTTGAAAGAGGTGTCTGTACACTGCAAAAAAACATATGTATATATTGTATATTTACACAAGAGGTATTGATTAGAGTATTTGTTTTTCCTCAACAACACCGTGGTAAACTACGATACGTAAGGTGTTAAGGCATAAAGCTGACTTTGTGTCCAGCCCAGAGAATTAAAAAGACATCCTCTATCTTCTGCATTGAGATTTTGATGCCGATTGTACCTGGAAACATAATGTCTTGGTAGATCAGCTCTAGACATATTAATACTGAAAAAGAAATCTTAAGACCACTATACAGACAGCAGCATCAAAGCATGTGTATGCCTAGTTTTAAAACATATTTTATCAAACCAATGAGGCGTTTACCAGGTACGCACTGTGTTTTAGTAGTACGGTTATAATACAGTCAGTTCTATCATATCAATACTTGGTATTCTTTTTTCAAGGATTAGATCTGGTAATAAAAATGTGGACTTTCAAAGTATAAGTAGGATGCGAAAGTGTATTTACAAATCACCAGGGTCAAACAGCACAACTTGAAATACTGAAGATTTTTTTTCTTTTCAGCTGAGATACGGCTTGCAGTCTTTGCAGCTGTGACCAAGACGCCACACACTGATCCTATGAATACACTCTATCGTCTCTCTGCCCTGCGTACTTTGTGGTTGTCTGTACAAGTTTATGAGAGGGTCATGATGAAACGGACGGAAGACGTATGGTTTCCCTGATGCCATAGTCTGCCTGACGTGACAGGATGAGGCGTGGAGGTGCAGAGACAGTGGTTATTCAACGAGCCTCTCCCACAAATGAATGAGTGATGTTTTAAAGGTCCATGCTAAATTCTCCATGACGATCATCTAAGGCCACAATGTTCATCAAAGAAAGTACAATGTAAACACTATAAAAAGAGAAAGAGAGAAAAATGATCATGGCAGAGTATCCTTTTCATTGAAAGAACGCTCATTGTTCAGCTCAACAAGCACTGACAGACACAGACACGCATCATTGTCAAAGTTTGAAAAAGGAGCATATACCTTATGGCATAAGGCACTTTAACAATTACTTCATGTGCCCTGCTTTGGAGTCGATCCACTGTTAATCTCCTGCTCGTCTTCATTCTCCTCCTCCTCTTCTTCTTGCCAGCCTCCAAGTTGGACAGTGGTGGGCACGGAGATGCTGGAACCGAGGTCGCTATGCCCCTGGAAGCCTGAGTGTTTTAAACAGAACAATAGCAACATATAACCATACAGTAAATACATTTCAAAATATCCCATGCAGTAGCTTTATACACGAGTTGTCAGTGCCAGTTTGAAATGTGTATTCCATTTCTACTTTATAATTGGTTGTATAATCTATTCCAATTTCATCTAAAGTCATTGTCCTTTCAGACTACATTTGCAGCTGTAGATCACTGACTCAATGTTGACATCAAAAATATTTTTTACTGTAGTTGCTCAACTCTGCTTAAGAACACATTTTGATCCACCTAAGTTCAAAGTCAATATTTTAATTTACCAGTGTTTGTGTGCAGATCTCTCATTGGCACTGAGTTCTGCCACTGTCCGGAAGTCCTCTGTGGGTGAGAGCTCTGCTGGTGGAGCTGGAGAGACAAGCCATCGTCAATATACAGCAGAATGGAGCTCCAGAGTAGTGGTTTAAAGGGGAGCTTTAAGTGGTTATCATCAAAAATTTTGCCCCAGAAGACTTGGGGTGTTTTCCCGCCATACAAACATCATTTTTGGGAGTAAAAATTCAAAATCACCAAACACAAGACATTAAAGGGAAGCTAGGTATTATAATAATGATGTAGGAAATAGGAAATCACCTCATGCATGTAGATGGCGTGGAGACTCATCTCTGCGGAGGCGAACTCTGAGTGCAGTGCATTTCTCTGAATGCGTGAATCACTGTTAGTCATACTGGAAAAGAAAAGTGTTAATCAAAGCTTACTTGCATATATTTATTTATCGGTTTCCACATTTGCTTTTTCAGCTGCAGAATATAAATAATTCAGTAGGAAATACAGTTGCTGATAAGTACCTATCAATGATGGTGCGATCACTGCGGTACATGGTGCTCTCAGGGTGGACGGAGGAGGGCAGGAGGCCGGGGGAGCGGCCACGGCTGGTGTGTGCGAGCTGAGAGGTGGAAAGAGAGGCCAGGACACTGGCAGCAGCAGAGGCGGTGGTGCTGGGTGGGATGAAGTGATGGTCGCGTCCTTGTAGTCCAGATGCAGTTAGAATGGGGTGGGCCAAGACACTGGCCAACAGATTATCAGGCTGGAAACAACAACATACAATTGGCAATCTATTTAATTTAATGGTAGTTCATGGATCATCAAACAGGAAAACAAAGTATTGAAGTATTGAAGTATCATGTGGTAAAGAATATTTATTAAAAAAAATGTATGCTGTTGTTTATGTGTTGTTTATATAACATAAGCTGCCTGTCTCTGTACATCTTTTTTATTTAATCAACATCACTTATACATGTACATGGTTCTCAGGCTTCTTACCACAGTGGCAGACCCATTGGATTCCAGTGAGGTGCAGAGAGGAGCCTCAGAAAGCAGTAGCTGGGTGGAGGGTCCACTCTGTGCATCATGCTGCACTTTCTCCTTCAGATGGCTGATAAACACGGAGCTCTCCTGTGGCGGCTGCCAGCGCGGGTTCTTAATGGTGAAATGCATGAGGGACAATTCTGTCTTGCCATTCTCAGCCTGTTGGTACACAGAGGCCTCCGTCTGGCCCTCTGACATCCACTGCAGAAATATTCAAAGATACAGATAAGTTCAAGACACATTATCACTGAGATCAGCTTATTAAGAGTCAGCTTTTCTTCAATTTCAGACATGTATCGAATCGGCTGACTGCGTGTAACAGAAGGAAAAGGCCTCACTGTTGGGTTTCCATGGCGTCTGATGTCCATCTGTGCAAAGGAACAGATGTCTCCAACTCCCACTACCTCTACGGTAAAGTTCCTGAAGAAGTCAATGATTTCGAGAGACTTGTTTCTCAAAATAAAGATGAGAATGAAGGGTGTGACGATGGGACTGAGTAACTCCTCCAAGATGAAAACCTGATTTGAACAAAAAAAACATCTTATCTTCTCAAATTGTTTTGAAATATTATATAATATACTTTTAGTTCCCTAGAATTTATCAATACATACAGTGACTTCACAATCTCAAGTCTTCATATTGACCATGATTTCAGTTTTGAATGGGATAAATATGTTTGCATTCATGGAGTCTCTTGTCTCCTCACCGCTTTGTACTGGAACAGCTGCGCCACCTCGTCACGGGTCTCGCTCTTGTTAGCGTTGCCTCTCCAGTGGTCTGGCATGTAGTGAATGTGTGCCAGCATGCACTGCAGCAGCTGCTCTGGACACCACACCATATGCTCATCTGGGATGAAGGATCTGGCATCGGACATGGACAAAATGAGAACATTTTCCAAAAGGTTATACAGCTCCTGTACATGTGAGATTAAGTGAAATTATAAAACTTGGGGTTTGGTTAAATTTGATATGTGACATGTGTATTCTTTACCCATAGTCATACAGAAGTGATTTGCAGGATGGCAA